GGACCAGGCTGTGCCCACATGGGCATCCTAAGGACCAGGCTGAGCCTACATGGCATCCTATAGTATGTTCTGGACAAAAGAACAGATCATACTATGATGTGAAGTAAGTCGGACACGCAAAGAACAAATATTGTGTGGTTGCCACTCACAGGAGTTTCCTTCCAAAGCAAAAGTTACTGAAACAGAAAGTAAATGATTGGTTGCAGGGAAGGAGGTCAGGGCTAAAGGGCAAAGAACAAAAGTATAAAGATGGGTGGCAATGCCCTGCTACCACCTGAACATACTTGTTGTCGAAACTCTGACGCTTAGGAACGGGAACATAACAGACACAACTTTGCATATTTTACCACAGTGAGAAGAAAGGGGCGAGGAGGAAATGAAGGGGTGGGTCACAACAGAGAAGGGAAGCCTGACCTCACCTTCCACTGGTGGAAGAGGCGCTTCAACTCCTGATTGGCCTTGTTGAAGTACCTATAAGGGGCAGGGGGCCATGTGTTGTCCAAGACTTTGGTGGATGGTAAATTCTTCTTCAGAGCCAAGAGAAATTTCCGTGCCTGCATTGAAAGCAGAGTCTTAGAAATGAAGTCCGGAGAAGAGCCACTTTCAGGCAGGTGGATTCACACCCAGGTCCTGCCACTCAAGAGGAAAACCACGCCCTTGTGAGAAGCTGGAGCAGAGCTGGAGAGGTAGACAGAATTGCCTCTCTGACAGTGTGCACTGTGCTTTGGGCTGGGGATAAGAACAGAAATGGGAAGCAGCAGGACGTGAGGACCTGACACCTGGATCAGGGAGGTGGGGCGATCCAGCAGCAAAGCTAGTCTCTGTATACTGTTCCCTGGCTTTCTCGTCTCTCAGGTCACAATGACCTACAGCTGGGGCCATTGTCTGTGTTGGTTATTGGATAGATGCCAAATCTGCCCTCCTCTCTAATCAATGGTGCCTGACACCTCAGCCTGACATTCACAGCCCTCCACTTGGTGGCCAGGGTCCTGTCACAGAACCCCCGGCCTCCCAGTATTCCAACCAGAAAGGCACCTTATCACAGCCCTTCCACCTTTGCGCTCTCAAGGCTGATGGCACTCGGCCTACTCGCTGATCTGACAGTTGGACTCTGCCCACGGGGATTCCGTGCAGTGTGTGAGCTGCAGCTGAAGCCCTCCCAGATGCTCCAGGGTCTCCACACTACCCTCCTAGCCAGGGCAGACCTGCCCAGTGCTTGCCTTTTCTAGCTCTCCAGAGTCTAACCTGCCTAGTGCCATGGGCTGCCAAAACTTCTGTAAGGTGGACAATCTAGGCAGTGGCTGGAAGCTCAGCAATCAAATGCTTTACATCCCAGCACTACCATTTGTCAGCCACAGGGCCTGGGGCTGGGGCAAATTACTCAGTCTTCCTAAACCGTAGCTTGTCTTTGGTTTTGTTATTGTTGTTGTTCTGAGATAGGATCTCACTAAGTCACTGTGTAGCTCTGCCTGGCCTGGCACTTGCTCTGTAGACCTAGCCAATCTCCAATTCACAGAGGTTTGCCTGCCTCCACCTCCCAAGTGCTGGGATTAAAGGCACATACCACCACATCTGGCCTGAGTCTTAGTTTTTTAACCTGTGAGGTTGGGGAAAGCAGAGGTTTTTAACCTGTGAGGTTGGGCCTACGTGACAGGGTTGTTAGAAGAACTGGAAAGAGCGTAGCATACTTTCAGGTAATGGCGCTAGATTAAAGGCCACAGCAAAGTGCCAGAAGCACTGGGAGAATCAGTGACCCAGGATTCTTGGGTGTGATTTATTGAACCACACAGTCCTGGCTTGATGCTCAGCAGCTGCCTGACAAGGTACAGGTGAAAGACTGTTAGGGGTGAGCGCAAAGTCAGGTCACAGACAGCACGGAGATGGCAGAGCCAGCCCAACAGGCCAGGCTAGCATGGGGCTAGGGAGAAGGAGGGGGAAAGAAAGCCAGAGGATGCCAGGATGCCTCAGCTCAGAACTCCCACCCCTCCCAGTCAAGCAGTCCAGGCTTTAGCACGACAGAGAGGAGTTCCAAATGAAGGTCCTTCACGCTCAACGGAGTATACTTGGTGAGGGTCCTAAAAACTAGCAAACAGCAGTCGCCTAAGGTCAGCTTCACCTTCCTGCAGCCCCTAGGCTAAGGCCCCTGTGTTCCCATCTTGTCTGGCTTTTTCCCAAGGCTTCACTGGGGTACTGTTCTCTCTGTGGCTTTCCAGTATCCTCTGGGAGATGTCCCCACTACTTAACAGTCCTGCTGGAAGCCATCCCTAGCCGGAGGCCTCATTCTGTCAGACCCTTCCAGAGACGGCCCTCCTCATTTGTCTGGGGGTTCAGAGAAGATAGGAGGGAGATGTGTTTCCTTCCACCTCAATATGGATCTTAGCAGTCAGGCTGGTTAATCCTGTGTCCTCATCATCCACTTCCATAAGAAAGCTACCCCCACCCCCACCCCGTTGGTCTCTCCCCAGGTCTATGTGTCCTCTGCTCAGATGAGAATGCCAGGACCCCACACTGGCACAGGATGCAAACAGCATCTACCTGAGCCAAGGGATGCCTGATGCGGCCCCGGTTACGGACACCCAGTCCCAGTGTGTGACTGCTCTCTCTGAAGAAGTTTTGAGGGAAAGCTTGGAATCAAGTCCCCCCCC